AAAGATATTTTATAACAGTCTCTAGGCTTCGTGTAGCCTTTACACATTATGAGCTACCCCTTTTTGTTTTTACCTCTCTACTAATACTCAGGAACTATAAAATATTTGTGTATAGTGCCTTCAATAAATATTATTTTAATTCAAATTGTCAGTACTGTAAAATTCCAATGTGTAAAATTTCAAAAATAAATCTAGGTTATTTTTAAAAAATGAATTGGTAATGAATTTAAATATACTTTACTGGGGAATAGAAACGCTCTTTCTCCGGTCTTGCTGAGGAAACTGCAAGTTGACTAAAAGAGATTTATAAACTTAAAACAAATGTCATATGTTGTCAAGGACAAGAACCAGTTTTGACCGGACTACACAGAGTCCCTGACCATTCTGAAGCTGACACTCTGGACCTCCTAGCCGTTCGCCACTACCACATTATTACAACTTAAAATAGAGGCTTTAGTCTTTTTAAAGTTCGACTGTTTCATGTCTTATGTTTGTAGTGGATATTCACATATATTCCACATATATGAAATATATGTGAAATTTAAATTTTTCTAAGTAATCTTAAACTGTTGAGGTAATTGGAAATATTTTAAGGTATACAGAAAGAAGTGTACTGCAGTTGGCTTTGTCCAAAATTTCCCTTTTTGATCTCACCAGACAATAAAATAAAATATGATGAATTTTTCAAAATTAAACTTTAAACTTACAAAATGCAGTAATTGTTTCTTTAAGGAGAGAAATAAGAGATGCAGACCAAAATGATTTTCACCTGATTAATTGCAATTAGCTTTTAGAAAGCTATACAGCAGGTCCTCCAACAGGGTTGTTTCCTACAACATTGTTTTGTTACAAGGTTGATGAAATGCGTAGAAACTTAACTCCTTTAGCCTATGGTAAAACTGGTCTCATTATGCTGTTGTTTTGCTGCAGTTCCATGACATTAAGTGAGGGCTTGAAGTAGAGATTTACTCATACAAATGCATCAGCTAGACTCGGAGGTACCTTTAAAAATAGTGTACAGGCATCTCTTTCAAACTCAGTTCTTCTACACTGTGATTACAGAAATTGCTAGTCATTCCTTTGACAATGGCTTGATTAAATCCATAGCAGGTAGAGTATAGAAACCACCTAGGGATTCATTTGGCTATTGTTCAAATTAACATTAGCTAATTTGGTTCAGTGGTTAGAGCATCGGTAGCCCTCGGGTTCGATTCCAGTCAAGGGCAAGTACCTCGGTGGCAGGCTCGATCCCTGGCCCTAGTCAAGGTGTGTGTTCGGGAGGCAACAAATCGATGTCTCTCTCTCACATTGATGTTTCTCCCTCTCTCTCCCTTCCACTCTCTCTGAAAAGCAATGGAAAAAACACCCTCTAGTAAGGATTAAAAAAAAAAATTAACATTAACATTCTTCCCTTTCTAGACAATTGTTAGCATTTTTATGGCCTTTATCTTTCCAAAAGCACTTGTCATTTAATAATTAGCGTGATTTTTCTGATTCTTTGTTAATTCTTTGAGACAACACAAGTAGTGCTTGCTTTTATCATTTAAACTACATTTTGATGAATCAAAACATCAAGTTCCCTACACTCAAAAATTAACTTTTAACACAAAACATACTTGAATGTTTAATAATTATCTTTAAAAGCAGTTTTAGGTAAATAAAAGCTCTTTGCCAAGCAAGGTCCATGTTTTGTAACTTCCAGCTGTGAAGCACCCACTATATAAAGCAAACATATTAAATGTTAATTACTTTAGCTCTAATTAAATATTTAGGCCTACAAAGATCTAGAGAAAGTGAAAAAGGTTAAACTTAATTAATGTATACAACTTTTTAAAAAATGTTTTTTATTGATTTCAGAGAGAGGAAGGGAGAGGGAGAGAGACAGAAACATCAATGATGAGTCACTGATCCGCTGCCTCCAGTGAGCTCCCTGCTGGGGATGGAGCCGGAAACCTCAGGCAGGTGCCCTGACCGGGAATCGAACCTCGATCTCCTGGATCCTGGGTCATATACGGCTATTTTGAATCATATTCTCTCCCGAGATGATTAAAATCAAACTACCCAGAATTTCACCTTTGGAATCGCCAAGGTGCAAGGCCATTCCAAAACTCTTCCTTTTCATCATCGTCGTCACAGTCAACATCAGCATTATTGCCATATAACTAATATTTATAAGTTTACCCTGTGCTAAGCTATGTGCACAATTCTGCTTTACATGCAGGATTTTATCAGCTCCTTTGAACAGCCCTATGAGGTAGGTGCTATCATTATCTCCATTCAGAGTCTAAAGCTTAGGAAGGTTAGGTAACCTGACGAATATCACATAACCAGTAGGTGCCAGATCCCAGATTTGGAAGCCAGCTAACTTTGTTTAAAGCCCTCGCCTCTAACTTTTATTTTGCCTAAGCCCACTTAATTAACTTCAATTTGGTATAAATCGACTTTCATCATGACCTTTTTTGTTGGGAACCATTTTGGTCTTCCCCTTCATCATCAACTGTTAGATAAAGTATACGTTCAGGGAACAGGGAGACATAATTGAAAATTTAATTAACACAGATTTAAAAACCACCACCACCCAAATGCATTATTGTGATGGAGTGGACAGTGGATGAATGCTTGGCCTGTTTAGCAATCTGGGCGGAACTACAATAGTTTCCTGATGGCTGAAAAGGCTTTACATAAAAGTGAAGAGAGGACATTCTCAGAGCAGGTTGACTGCTTCTGCACAGGCAGAAAGTCTGGAAAGTGCTGGATGAGTGCGAACAAGCGGGAAGTTTCTACTAGGGCCTGAGAAGAGAAAGGGAGGGTCTGGGGATGGAGGTGGGGGTCACATACATTTACGCTTGATGTCTTCCTCAGGACCAGGGGCAGTTTTAGACCCTGATACGAGGAAATGTTCGAATCCTCGGGAGTCGAATTTGGGTCATTTCAGCTCTTCCTCGCCGGTTAGCTGTTGTATGACCCGGTGTCATCCTACTTGTGTTTCATTTTCCTGTCTGTAAAAAGGGAATGGTTCTTGTTCCCTTAGGCTTTCTCCTAGTCATCAAAAAGGAATGTTAGCCCTGGCTGGGTAACTCGGTTGGTTGGAGGGTCTTCTTTCCCAATAACGTGAAGGTTGGGGTTTGATCCCTGGTCAGGGAACATGCACATCAACCAATGAATGCATAAATAAAGGGAACAACAAATCGATGCTTCTCTCTCCTCTCTAACACCAATCAATATATAATTTTTAAAAATGAATGAGTTAGGCCACAGTACACAAAAGGAAAATAAGTAATATTTTATAAGATAAATTCAAAACAGTAAACTATCTGGGCATCTTTATAAAATAAGCACTGGAGAAAACTTTTAACGAAGCATTTAAACTCATTAATAACTTGCAGATGTACAGATCCTCGAATCTCATTTTTTAAGGGGCAGGAACTTGAAAAAAAATTAAAACGGGATCTAGTTAGCTTTAGTTACTTAGGCCACAGACCATTCAATGTATGCACGACACAGAATTTGCATTTACTCATTTCACACGTCGTTATCAACTCTACGTGAAGTTTAAAAGAACAAAGGATGAAAGTGGAATGGGTCTGTTTTCCGTGTAGCCTCCTTGGGGCGCAGGGAGAGGGGATTTCCTTTGAGACGAGACTGGGGCAGCCAATAATTGCTGGTATGTCCGACGGGTAATAACAGGCTGATGAAAAGGTGACTACACCGCGAAAACTGATTAAATCGAGCGCCGCCCCCACCCGCGTTTCGAGGAGGAATTTTCCTCTCCCGCCCTCACCCCGGGGCCGAGGCAGCGGCCGGCCTCCCGGCACCGACACGCGCCCCGCGGTTTCCTCCTCACCGGCTGCTCCGCCGCAAACCCCTCTGAGTTCCCTCCTGCACTTTCAAAATATAAACCTTCCCGAGAAGCCGGGGGCCGATGTTGCTCACCGGCTGCGACACGCGCGACCGGGACCGGCC